ATAACTACATTTGATTAATCTGTTGAAAAATATTAAAAAAATAAAAAGAAGTTGTAATTTTTGTCTATGGAAACTTTTATTTCGAGCATAATTACTTTACACCAGTCACAAGGAGATGTCCCACCAGTCACAACTTTAAATATTTTTTTATATTTCTGTGAAGGTTATATAAATCTAATTTTTATTGAAAACGAAAGCGTACAATTCATATTTTACAACACAAAAATATCGCTCGTGAAGATTGATTATAATCAATAATTATTTTGGCTAAAATTCATCTTTGAGTGCGCTAGCGTAAAATAGAGTTATTTTCAGTGTCCCACCAGTCACATTCATTCAAATGATAGTTACATATAATTAAGAAATCGTTTGGTATTTTTGTTAAAGCTATTTTATACACTAGTTATCGACCTATGCTAAATAATGTCTTTCGCTGTTGTATAAGTTCCGACGACATAGTTAAAATTCACAATTGATCACATTATGGAGTAAAATGTCACCCCAGTCACAATGGAATGGCCCTATAATGAAAATTTTGAGTTCTTTCCATCCATCGAATCGGTAATTTGCTAATAAATCTGAAATCGCCACCTCTGTATAATTTCTTGGCGGAACCGCTTCAACTACTTCTAGTCATTTCTGATCCCTTAAAGTTGCCTTACAGTTTGTGAGTGACAACCCTCTTCTCATTTTTTTGAAATTGGCATAAGAGGAGGCGTCCTAGCTACAATAAATCCCTACATACATATGTATGTATGTATGACCCTAACGGTATAATCGATCTACAATCCTCTAGTCAGTGGCGACTTCCGTTTAGAGGCGTTTGGATATTCAGCAGTTCAGATATCCACCAAAACAGTAAATAACTTCTGAAATGGGTTTGAACAGGCCCCATAAGAAATAAAACAAAGCACATACATACATATGTTGGCATTGCGGTACCAAGGAGTTGTTAAAACTATTGCAGCGAAAGAAATATCTCGAAAGCGATGGTCTCGAAAGGTGGTGGGCGGCTCGAGACTTTGAAGCTTACCTTATATGTAGGTATACAATCTTTGATTACACTGGACCACAAATTTCAACTTTTTCTCTTTACCAGAAACGCCGTTATGAAATTCTTATGTAAAATCAGCCCCTGATTCCGAAAATCAAGGTTATTTTTAATTCTATGGTACCGTTTTTGAAATATTTGCAATTTACCGTTTTTGCAAAAAAAAAAAAAAT